GTATGGTACCTCACCATTCCCTTTCAGCCAAGATACGGGCATTTGATAAAGACCTTTCTACCACAGTATCTATTCTCCCAGAAGCAAAACCTGGCCCAGGACTAAGTATGTAAACCAGTGAACCAATCAAGTTCTTTGGAAATGGTACATGGATGCCAACTGGTAACAACAAGCTGAAAGAAGTGCCCTTTAACTTGCATTCTAGACACAAGGGAGGGTAGGGAAGCTTGTGAATTAGAAACTACCAGCAACCGTTTTCTCCAAAGCATAATGTCTACACACATAGTGGGAAACAAACCTAAGAGCTGGGAGAGGGAGAAAGAAGTCCAAAATACATGGTTTAAGCCCTGGAATTCAACCAAGCGTAAAGCCCCTGACTTTTCAGGAAGTGAATTAATAAATTATATTTTTTCCTTGAGCTTAAAATCATCTTATTCCTCTGACAGAAAGCTCAGGAGGACATCTGCTACTCTGTTCAAGCAGCCAAGTCAATGAAGACTAGATTACAATATATTCTAATTATAGATACAAAACTTATTAAAGTAAATATTCAGGTTTTTCATTACAACTGTACAAATTAGACATTAATCATGGTCTAACGAAATTACACATTACTCATACTTCCTTTCTTGACCTTATACAGGACAAGACTGTGATTCATAGAGTAGTAAAGGGAAGAATGTTCCCACCGTTCCTATAATAAAGGGGGATGCTGGTGTAGCATTGAGGAGAGGGTAGTGTGAGCATGTGGGTACAACATGTGTACATTTGGGAAGAGAGTAATAACAGCTAGGCAAAGTTCAAGCAATCTTCTGGAATACTTTGTGTTGATTATTATTTTTTTTACACTAAACTTCAAAGGAAAACATCATAGATAAAACTAAAGAAATTCAGTCAAGCAGTTGGTCTGGGAAATATTTTCAGAAGAAAAAGCTTTAGCTCAGACTTCATTCCCCTGGAGGAGAAAAATGTTAAGAAACAACACAAAACAAAACAAAACAGAGTTCGGGTTCTAAAGAGTTAGAAATATCAGATGAGCCTCTGAGCTTCAGCTCTGACTCCAAACTTGATGCACACTATACAGTTAACCAAATAACAGCAACAGTTCAATACATGTTAGAAAACAGCTCATTTTACGTAAGATTGCAAAACTGTCCTCCACAAAATATGTGCAACAGTGATTTATTTTCACCCTTAAGACTTGTTCATCAGGAGATATGTGGTAATAACTATTTCATCCTTATTCCCAGCTGGGCTTCTTTTCTAAGTCACTTGGGTGAAAAGAGACCTCAAGAAAGACTAAGTTCTGACATAGCAAGGCAGATATTCAGAAACTGGAATTAAAGTAGTCTCTACAAAAATGTAGACATTGCAGATCAAGCAGAATTCAATGAGTATAGCTGTGAATTTAGTGATAAATTGCTTTTAGCCTCCAGCCTGCTGAAATGAGTGATTGTATAGGGCTCTACTATATTAACTTCTTAAATAAAATTATATGGAGCCATTTCTACTGTTTAGCCACTATATACTGACATTCAGTTTATGAGATATTAGGGAAAAAGTGGACTTTGGAAACTTCTAGACTTGATTTGGAGTCCTATATTTATCATTTTGCCACCTGGTGCATTGTATATGCTCTCTTAATTCCCATTTCCTCATTTGTCAAATGTCAAAGGATTGTTCTGAGGATTCTGAGGATCAAATGGAATAATTATGGAAAGTGTAACTCGGCACACTGACAAATAGTAGGCATATAATTTCAGTTGTCCTTTTTTTAAAAAAGAATTATTTTATTGCTGGGGGTGCATGTGCTTGTCAGAGAGAGGGAGACAGAGAGAGGGAGACAGAGAGAGAGAGAGAGAGGCAGAGACAGAGAAAAGAAGAAAGTACCTCTAATGGGGCGTGTTCATGCTGCAATCCATTGTCCTCCATGTCTTCATCCTGTTGGGATTTTGGGAACCTACACACATATGTCTGGGCATGCTTTTCAGTGCCTCAGGCTAGGACTCAAACTGCAGTCAGCCATGTGGATCCCACTCCCTTAACCACTTGGACTATAGGGCCAGCCCAGTCTTTCTTGTTTTTAAGGATGTGAGCCTTTTGGCTCTTTTGGTAGATGGTCATATTTTTGAAGCCATCTGAATTTTGAGTGTTAGTCAAGAAACTCCTTTTTTTTTTCCTTTCCCTCATAATGATCCTTCTTTTCTTGCAAGTGATGGTAGATTTCTACTTATTTGAACTTTTTTTCCACCAATGTACTTAAAGATCTTAACTTCAAAACTATTGGCATAACTCACCAGATAAATAACTATCAATTGTTTGAGCACAATTAGCTTGAACATAATGCAAATGCTTCTTTTCTTCTTCTCTTCTTTCGTCTTCTTCAACAACAACAAAAAAAAAAGTTTCTAGCATTCAAATTATTAAAATAACTGGACTGAATGACAGTTTTCCATAAAATTCCTTAAACAATATATGGACAACTTGCTGTAGTCCAGTTTTTTCACTGGCGTAAATGCTTCCCACATTCCCACGGATATTGGGAGTCAGTTTAAAGCCTTTTGTCTTTAATAAACTGAAACTTCCTTGTGAAGAAAACGTATGTTCACAGTGAAACTTTTGGCACTTTTTAAAAAAGATTTTTATCCAAAAGAAACATGTTGGTTTTAGCAACTTGATCAATGATGTATTGCAAATAAAATTATAAAATCTGTCTTAATCAGTAATGAATGGCTGACTATAATTCATCTAAGGTTGAGAGTTCATAACTATGTGTGAATATTAAAGCCTCTTATGGACATCTATTGTTATGATTATTGTAATATAAATAATAACTGTCAAGTTTTGCTGTTGGTTCTAAAGAATTTTGAATGATATGTACTCCAAGCATCTGTATTTTACTTACATGATGCTTTAAACAGAATACTGGTGTAATTCTCTACAAAATGATTAGGGCTTCATATGTCTGAATGAACTGTTGCTTTTCTACACTGAATACATCTGTGCTTTGCTTAACCAAATGGTAAGAGTCACTGTATATTAAAAACTGCTCCTTTGATTTGAGAAAATTAGAAAATTATTTTGCTAAATCCTTTTCCTGACTCATTAAAATTATGAATAGAGCTCAGTTGAGAGGCAAATAAGAAAATACGTAACTTAATAGATTACATACCATCTAAAAAATTTCCCAAATGTTCTTGTTGAAACATGCAGTGACATTATTTAATGTAAGTTATACTGCCTCCATTTGCACTATTGAAACATCTGAACAGAGATTGATGAAGATTCTTTGGTAATGCAATGATTTAATCAAAAGTCTTGTTCTTAAGTGTAATAGGAAAAGGGAGGGATCTTAGTTTGCCAAATGTTAGGGCCCCTTACATAGTTAAAAACATCACACTCCAAAACATCTTTTCTATTTTGTTTCACTGCAAAGTAAAATTGAAGTCCCACAGCATCTGAATCCTGAGAAGAGTAATTTTTCTTTTTTAAGAGAGGTTTTTGCTATAGGGAGCATGCACTCTCCAGAAAAACAGAGAGAGACAGAGAGGGAGAAATAACCTTCCAGGAGGAATGGCCATGCTGCAATCCCTTTACCTCCATTCTCCTCTCAAGATTTTGGGCATACACACACATGCGCACACACACACACACACACACACACACACACACACGTGCCTGGCATGAGTTTAAGCCAGGTACTGGACTCGAATCAGAGTTGACTATGTGGGAGTCCAGTGATGTAACCATTACACCATCTGCTGGTCCCTGGGATGAGTAATTCAGAACATCAAAATTTTCAGTAAGGCCCAAAGCAGCCATATGAGGTCTGTTCAAGTTTTATTGTGGAGGCTGTATTCAATTGTTCACCAAGACTACTTGAAATAAATTTATACTGCCAGTTGCTGTGCAGTTTTTATTGCTAAATAAAGCACATTACCTTATTATAACTAAAAATTAATGTAAATAATATCTCCCTTTCACATGTAGTCTATTCAATGGAGAAGTACTTAAGTCAAAACAGAAGTTGAAGGAAAAAAGAAGCTAAGGGATAAAACACCTTGCAAAATTTGGAATGCTGAAAATAATATATAGTTCAGAGAATCAGGGCAAATTCAACTATTCTTTTGTTGTCAAATAATAATTTACAATGGAGTTCTTAATAGCACAATATTATCTCTTTTATTATGTCTTCTTCTTCTTGTTATGGTTTTTTCTGTAGGGTGCACGCGCTTGCTGGAGAGAGACAGAAACAGGGAAAGTGAGAAATCATCCTGCAGGGTGGATGGCCACGCTGTAATTCCTTATTCTCTAGTCTTCCAGTCTTCTCTTGAGGTTTTAGGCATGGACACCTAGGTGCCTATGTGATTTTCAAGCCACTGGGTCTGGGACTCTAACTATGGTTGGTCATGTGGGAGTTCAGCACCTTAACCACTACACCACCTGCTGGCCCCTTGTCTGTGTTTATTTTTAATCATAGAAAATTGGTAAGTTACAATAATAGCTGTCATTATAGGCTATTCAGTGATGTGTAATCCTTGGGAAAATTGAACTGATCCCTCAAAGAGAGGTGAGTTATCCGTTTCTTAAAAGATCATTTAGTGATTTTATTTTCTTTTTTTTACTATAGTTCAGTCGGGCCCTCAGTATCACAGGACGAGAAACTAAATTTTGTTTCTACTTCTTACATGTACCTACCTCTTGAATCAGTACTCAGAGGCAGACTGACAATACCCAAGTTTATTCTGTACTTGAAATACTTATATTTGCAGAAGCACAATTACATGGGGAATCAAATTATAATCAGGATGTAAATTTATTAATAATGAAAACCTGTTACAGGGACTTCATTCTTCAAATGGTAATTTCTCTCTATTGGAATAACAATGTTGGAAGCCAGTTAATTATTAGAAGGTTGACTATTGAATATTTGTACTAGTTAAACTTATTGTAGAGACTAGAACACCATGACTTTCATTTAATGGTACAATATAGCTCACCTTCTCCAGGAGGCCACTGAGGGACTTGGATTCCCTCCATGATGACATTCTATTTATTATCTTTAAGGGGTTGCTCTTTTCCTCCTGGTTGGAGATGCCTTACAATTGTGTGTATCCTCCAGCCTCAAGCAAGGGGACTAGAAAGAGAATGTAGAGGTGAGGAAAGGGAAGGGATGCATTTTTATTTTAAAGTTATGACCTTGAATATCACACAATACTTTCCGTTCATATCTGTCTACATTGAACATGGCTACCCTAACTGCAAGGGAGGCTGGGAAATGTGCTCTTGGGAGATAGCCATGTGTTCCACTATAATGCAGTATGAGAGCACAGGTGATTGGTTCTGTTACCAAGAAGACAATTAGCACTCTTTGCTAGAACAATAAAAGTTAGTTGAACTAGATGTTTAATAGAATCAAACTATCATGAGCTGTTGTAGCTATAGCAGGCTAGACTATTCAGCCTCCCTTTTCTATTCTCCACTGATCATGATACCTCTTATGGCATGAAGTGGGTTTAATGTATAAAACCTTAACAGAAATCATTACACCTAGTCCCTGAGGTTGGTCAGAGAATTAAGTTAATTAATATGTATTTATCACAGTAGTGCCTGACACAGGGAAAGAATAAAATAAACGTTAGTTGTTATTATTATTACTATTATTGTCACTGTTTTATATTTTTAAGACTGCTCATGATAAACTCTGCTGCTCTGAGCCTCTGTTGTTTACACTGCCTGTTCTTATTTCATGACTATATTTTCTTTGGAACTATAGTTTTATAGCCATTCTTTTTTTTTTTTTTTAAAAGTCTACAGTTATTCTTCTACATTTTTGTCACTGTAAAGTTTGTTTCCTTAAAACTATACATTCATTTGAAAAATAGACATATTGTTGTAATATTTGCTTCCCCATTTACAAATTCCACTTATTTAGGCCAACACACTACTTGGATAAGCTTAAGAAGCCCTCAGACAACATTTACCTTCAGAAATTGCATGCTCCTCAAAATGCCACCTGTTCTGTTTTGTTTTACTAAACCCTGTGTTGTTTACTGGCTTGGTTTACTGGCTGCAGATATTATTGGCATTCCACTGATGGAGAAAGTGGGGCCAATAGTGCTCAAGACAAAAATTCACAGATATTATTTATCCCTTTTCCAGTATTGGTCCTGAATAAATATCTTGTTATTTTTATGACCAAATTTCCTCATAATACAACGGAATGAAAACTACTGTTTATGTTATTCATAGACTGTCAGAAATCAATGTCTTCAAGGTTTAGACTACAGAATAAAGCTGCTTTGATGTATAAAATGGATAAAAAGTTCTTTGCACTTTTCAATACTCTAACTAGTTCTCTAAATACTACTCCTTCTACTGCTCTGATATCCATTTATATTGCTTGGCCTCTCTTCCTTGTATTTTTAATGTATTTTTCTACTACCTATTTCCCAGCAACATTAAATTTTCTCAAATAGTTCCTCCCATTAAAACAAACAAACAAAAAGTGTTTTAAAAGCTCTATGCTATGGTTTGAATATTTGCCTTATCCCAAATTTATGTTGAAGCTTAATTAATTAATTGCCACTGTGACAGTATTAAAAGGCGAATTTTTAAAAAGGCAAGTATGTCAAGAGAGCAAAGCCTTTGATGCCTTTGCAGAAGGACTTTTGGGAGTGAGGTCTCTATTTTTGCTCTTTTGCCGTGTAAGACATAGTTTTCCTTTTATCCAGAGTATGTGGTGTTGTATGTGCCATCTCGGAAGTAGAGACTGGGTCTTTATAAGACATTAAATTTGCCAACATCTTGGAGTTGGACTTCCTAGCTTTCAGAACTTTGAGAAATAAAATCTCTTATTTACAAATTGTCTTGTCTCAGGTAGTATGTTACAGAAGCATGAAACTCTCTTTCAATTGCGTATTTCTTTACAGGACCTGTTCTATCATTATATTCATCTCCCTTTCAATCTGGAGTCCATTCCCAGCAGTTCATAAACTAATCAAATGATGCTTTTCTGTTTGTATTTATTTACCTTCTTTTGTAAGTTTAGGCTATGTGGAATATTTCCTCCTTGAACTATTCTGTCTTTGCTTGCCATGACATCACTCATCTGATTTTTCTTCAGTATCATTAGATATTCAATCTCAATCTCCTTTGTGGATCCTCTTATTATTGTTTAGCCACTCTTGTTTCACTCTTGACTCTTCTCACTCCATAGCATCCTTTATGATCTCATTCAGTTCCAAAGATTCAGTGCTAGTTATGGCTATGAAATTTTCATCTCAAGTCTAAATTGCTCTTAAACTTTACCCCTTATATCTAACTGCCAAGTGAGTATTTTTTCTTAAACATCTCAAAGTCACTTCACATTTAACAATTGCAAACTTCAATTCCTAACATTCCCCTAAGTTCTCACCATTTCTTTTCTTTCTATCATCCCAATATTAATTCCACTGTGCACCTATTTGCCCAAGTCAGAAACCAGGTAGTCACCTTCAATATGTTCTGCACCATTCTCACCATGAAACCAAGCATGAGGCCCTCTTGACCACATCTTTTACATGCATCTTTAATCCAATAATTTCTTTCTATCCCTACTACCATAAACTCAACCCAAGTCACCATTTCTCTATGGGTCACTGCCACAGCCTCCTTACTCATCTTCTAGCTTAGAGTCTGGGTTTTGAAATACTTTCATCTCAATGCAGGTTGTGTCTGTTGCCATATTTGATCATGCTGCCAGTTGCTTAAATTTTCTTGTCTACTCTTGGATTCTAGAACAGTGCCTGACACATTATGTAGACTGAAGGGTTAGCTAACTGACTGACTGAGGAGCCAGTCTGGGACACTAAGTAGTTATAGTACAAAGTAAGACACGTTCTGAGCAATCAGAAGACAGCAAAAAGGCCTTGAGACTCATGAAGGAGAGAATAGGATGCCGAAAGGAACAGTGATGGGGTTTTCAAATAGTGAAATACAACCACGTCAAACACTGAGTCAGAAGCTCCATGATATAAATAAATCAAAATAATACAATCATTAACCTGGTTATGAACAGGAACAGGAAAAGTTAAGAAATATTTGAGCTTGGAGAAGAACTAATTTGCATAATCCACCCCAGATCTTTTACTGAAGATAGAACTCAAGGGTAGTTTTATTCTCTCTCTCATTACAAAATTACATTCTAGGAACCAGTAGTTAGAGTAATGGCTATGTTGCTGGACTCCCATGTAGTTGACCACAGTTTGAGTCCTGAACCCGGTGGCTTAAAACTCACGCTGGATGTGTGTACGTGCATGCCCAAGATCCTGAGAGGAGAATGGAGGAGAAGGGATTGCGGCATGGCCATCCCCCCTGGGGGGGTGATTTCTCACTTTCTGTCTCTCTGTCTCTCTCTGTCTGTCTGGCAAGTGCACACGCCCTATAGCAAAAACCTCTCCAAAAAAAAAAAAAATTACATTCTAGTTCTAGGTGAGCTCCACTTCTATCCTAGAAAGAGCTTTGCAAAAAAATAAATTATTTTGGTTATGTTTGTGAATTCTACAAGATGAACCTTATATAGGCCTGATAATGACTGTGTATCAGTCTGCAAATTATTCACAAAATATATTCACAAACATGCCAGGAAACCATCACTGTGGATCCTGACAAGTCAGTAGACTGGCATATATGCAGGAACAATTGATAGTAAAGAGTATTCCTTGTACATCAAATATTGTAAAGGGCTGAATGTGCTTTCAGACACATTTCCTATTCCTTTATCCAATATCAAATAGTATTTCAAGGTTTGAAGAGTAGATGATAGTTTTATTCCATTTTCTCAGGAACTCCCCGTGGGAGGAAATTAACAGGAAGGCAGATTTCAGTGTAACATATGGAGATTTTTTTACCACCTTCAGAGTTGTCTAAAATGAGATAACTTTCTTACAAATACTGAAATTCACTTCACTCTTTCAGCAAAAAAGAACAAACTATATCCTAGTTTTCAGCCACGATTTGGGATGGAGGGGACAGGATGTCCTCTGAGTCCTACTCCAATTGAAAAATTCTATGATGTAATATTTCTCGATGAGTCAGAAGAACATGATGAATATGAATGACTATAGTGTACAGTGATGCAGTGAGAGCCCTAGGTCTGCAAGGTGAGTTCGGCTGTACTTCCTATAATGCATTAATACCAGCAGCAATGCCTTTGCTGGTAGTTTGTATTCTTCTATCCCATTTTGCCCATCCCCATATCCAGGCTGGTCAACTGACACACTACATATTGTCTCCTCATCTGAATGGAAATCATTAGTAGATAGAAAAGTAGTCTACTTTTGTTAAAAAAGACAAGACTTTAAGAATTCCAGAAGTGTGGCACTCAATGAAAATTTAGTGAATGAATGATGAGTGATTTCTTTCTCTCTGTTTTTTTTTAGAGATTTCTTGCATTAGGGCATGTGAGCTGACTGGAGAGACAGAGAAAGACAGACAGAAAATGAGAAATCACACACACACACACCTGCCTCAGGGCAGATGAGTATGACACAATTCTTTTTACTCCATTCCCCTCTCAGGACTTTGGGCATGCATGCACATGTACCCAGCATGAGTTTCAAGTTACAGGATCTGGGACTCAAACCACAGTCAATCATGTGGGAGTCCAGCACCTTAACTACTACACCATCTGTTGCCTCGGCGAGTGATTTCTTAGGAGATAATGCCACTCTGCCACAGATTAGAAAGGCTCTTGCCCACTACGTTCACCCAAAACCCAAGCCACAGAGATTTTTTTCCTCTTCTCTGATCGCACTAGATTCTTCCCATGCCTTGAAATTTCAGCATGCCTATCTCTGTCCTGTTTTTCAAATGCTTACTCATTTGTTAAACTCTCATCTCTTAAATATCTCCTCTGTGATGTCTTACTCAGACATAATTAACTATTCCTCTTATGCATTCATAGAATTTTATATATATTTTTATTATATAATTTATTATTTTATCAGAACTATTTGTTCCCTTCTATTTCCTCAGTTAACTCTGAGAACTTCTTGAGGACAGAGTAGTCCGTCCCTGGTGAAATGCCTGACAGATAGAAGATGCTCAGTAGACATTGGTTGGCCAGGTGACTAAATAAGGCAACTTAATTAGGTATACACAAACAGAAAGACACACACATATACACACTCTCTCTTAAACATCCCTCCTAAATTTAAAATCTTCTGGGGCCAGCAGGTGGTGTGGTGGTTAAGGCACTAAATACTCCCACGTGGTCGACCACGGTTCTAGTCTCAGACCTGGTGACTTGCTTTCTCACTTTCTCTCTCTCTTTCTCTCTGGTCAAATTAAAATAAATGAATGAATAAATTTAAAAATAAATAAATAATTCTTAAAAAAATTAAAATCTCTATTTTGACAGATTTTGATGAAGTAATTTGTTATCACTTTAAGGATCATATTTTTCACAAGATAAATGGATGTAATGATGTCAAATCTCTTATTAGATTTAAACTGACCACATAATTGTATGAGGTTCATAAAAAACAAGACCCTGGCTTTTGATATAAAATGGTCAGATATGGAGGATCTATTGCTGAGTGAAGCAAGCCAGGCTATGAAAGAAAGATATTGTATGTATCCATTTAATATGTACTGACTATCCACACTTTATGTTAGAGATCGAAATATTGGAGGGCATAAAAGCAGTGAAAATAGGGATGATGAAGATAGTGTGGAACAGGGTGGGAGAACGAAAGAGTATAAGAAGGATAGCAAGAGAATAAATAGAGAAGCATGACATTAGTGGGATACAGAAATGGTTTATTATCTGTTGATGTTAACATGTGTAGTAGCCTCAACTGGACTGATCTGAGAAGTATTTCATGTTGGGTAAATTCTTTTTACAAGCAAAATGATATATAGTGATTGAATATTTTTTAAAAATGAGAATAAAAATAATAATAATAATCTGGGAAAAAATGATGAAAAGCTATTTGACGATGATGATGTGGATAGTAATGTTTTTGTCTTGACTGATATGCATGGTATTCCTTCTGGAAAAAGAAATGTAATATACTGTAAATATATATGTCATTCAATGTAATGTAAATAAGATTATGAGAATAATAAATTAAATTTTAAAAATAATTATATGAGGTACAATCTAACAGAGAGCTTCAGGATGTAAATGTGAAAGAAAAGTATAACTACAAAGAAAATTTATTGTGATATAAGTTATGAGAACCATAACTTATCACTTGCACTGGGTTATCACTTGCACTGCAGTCAGGGATGCAAGCACCGCCTCTTCCTGTCATCTGAAATCAAATTGTTTCTAATGCCATGCTTAAATAACAGATTAAGTCTCTGTTATTGCAAAATAATTACTAATATATAATTAAGTCTGTATACCTCTCTACAAAAAGAAAATTATAGAAAGTGAGCTGGGAGTCTAAACCTTAGAAAAATAGTTCTGTTAGTTAATTACTTCAATTTTCATGTAATAATGCAACTATATCAAATGCTACCATTTTTCTGCCTTACTGATTCACTGCTGGGAATTTATGAGATGGTTTTGGCACTTAAAATATTGTTGGCAGTTCTTTCACAGGCAGGAGGAGCAGGTAAAGATCATTTTTTTCAACAATGTCATGTCACTCTGGCTTACCCTCATATCACCTCTGCAGTTTTTCTAGGTTAGGAGAGTTGTGCCCAAGAACCTTGTCATACTGTTTGAAGACACCAGTGGCTGAGAGGTGATTCCATACTGCTTAGGCCAATGGAAGAAAAAATGAGATGTTTCCCTTCATCTTCCTTTACATAAGCTATTCTTAACCATAGACTTACAATAATATAAAATATTTCCAGTTTTGTCAGAGAACTTTTTTCAAATCAGAAGCCATTAGAGCTGGCTCTATAGTGCAGTAGTTAAGGGCATATGAAGCTAAATCCTACATGGCTGGCTGATATTCAAATCTCAGCCCTGACAGCCTGAAAAACACAATGGGCATATATGCATGTCCAAAGCTCTGACAGGATGGAAAAATAGAGAAAGGATTTTTATTTATTTATTTATTTATTTTATATTGACCAGGGAGAGAGAGACACACACACACACACACACACACACACACACACACACACACAGAGAGAGAGAGAGAGAGAGAGAGAGAGAGAAAGCCACCAGG